CACATGGGAGACACTGTCTGCAACAATGTGATGTTACTCTGGGGGATAACCAGGAAGTGACATCACACATCTCTAGGAATCACTGGAAACTCTATGATAAAACCAAGTTGCTAACAACTTGCAATTCTGGATGAAACTGTTCAGCTTAAAGCATAGTTAAAGAGACATGTTTTAGCCAGTGGTCAAAAGAACAATAAAACAGTCATCCTCAAACCTCAAATAAAACCAAATGAATCAATACTCCATGCATATGCATCAAATGCTGATGCAACTTTATAACACTAGGAAAATGCCCATCATTCTGACCAGGATGGGTGAATACCTGCAAGGATAATGGAGGAAGCAGCACACAGAGATCCATATTGTGCTTCCCGGTTCCACCTGCATTAGAGGTGGCTGTACCGCTGCCAATAAAGGGGTGGGGAGGTTTGGGTACCTACTGCCACAGCATCTTCCAGTGCAGATTTCCTACAGAAGCAAACAGAATTCAGTGATACAGACGAGGAATACTGGTTGGGTGTTTGCATCTAAATCTGCCTCCTGCCCTGGGAGACTCGGTTGGAAGGGCTGATTTTGTAGCCCTCTCCCCAGTGCTCCAAGCTGCACACCACTTAACTCCATGGGATTCAACATGAGCCACTGAGATCAAGCCAATTCCTTTCTAGATAGCCCACACATGGTTCTGTTTCTCGGTCATATCAGAACAATTGTAAAGAGAACAAACCTAGGAAACAGCATGAAGTAGACTGGTTAACGTGCCCTGGATATGGAACAAGCCCACCTCTATTACTTCACACAGGTACTTTATGCTAAGCTTAGTACTGAACAACAAGTTCTTCAAATACAGAAAACAAATTACACACAAATACAATGTGCAGTCTAAGAGTCAGTAAAAGCTTGCTACAATTATAGACTAAAAACCTGAGCAGGAAAAATATTTTCAGTTCTCAGGCGGACCGAGTTTCAGCTTTGAGCATCAGCCACTTACAGGTCTGAGTGCACTCTGCTAAATCCCACTGCTTCCCACTACACTCCAACACAGTCTTGGCACATTAGGAGGTCTTCTGATACTTGCCATACAAACAGACGCATAGAACAATCCAATGTTTCACCAGTGTCCAGTTAACAACTTTATAACTTGAGAGTCAGAGCAGGGTAATGGCTAGGGAGCTGGATAAGAACCGTGAAACTCTGGTAACGTTATGTTGTTGAAGGCTCTGGTAACATTAATTAATTATCGTATGGCCTTGTGTGTAGTACAGCCAGTAGATCCTAAGATTGCATGGCAGCTAGAAGTTCTAACTCTTTTAGCATTATGCACCACTAGGTGGTGAGCTATATTTGTTTATTAGGGACGTTTCAGAGTTGGTTTTGCCATTGCCTGCCCCGGTGTCATGACCCTGGTATTCCTTGGTGGTCACCCTTCCAAATACTAGCCAAGGCTGACCTTGCTTAGCTTCCGAGATCTGATGAGATCAGGCTAGCATGAGTTATCCAGGTCAGGGCACTCTAGCAACAAGCTGCTGACAAAACCTGAGCTACTTACCATCTCTCAGCCTCAACCTCTCTCAGAGGGTTGTTGTCAGAGTAAAATGGAGACTGGAGGACAGACAACCAAGCAGGCTATACTGAGTATCTCGGAGAAAGGGCAGGTTAAAAACGTAATAACCTGCACAGTAGTCCAGTGTTTACTGCTCCTCAGAAAGCACATGAACATCAAATGCTTCCAAGATAAGAGACACAGAGAAGGGGGCAATTCTGCTTTCCCTCCCCCTGAAAACCAATCTAAGAGTATGGTGTAGTGGTGGTTGCAGCAGTGGGCTAGGGCCTGAGGTCAAACTCCCACATTATAATGAAGCTCCCCTTGAGTCACACACAGCCTAACTCCCTTGACAGGATTGTTGTGATGACAAAAGGTGTGTGTGGGAGCCATATACAGCACCTTTAAAAGCTTGGAGGAAGGTTGGGATAAAAACTGGAAGAGCCTTCCTAAACCCATGAAACTTGGAACGTCTCTGAAAGAGCACCAGAAAACAACTCTAGTGACCTTTTATAGCTATCCGAATGTAGAAAACCGTGTACAGGAGAGCCCTTTTTGCTGAAACAAGATGTGAAGGTCACAAGGGACCCTATTTTGCCGTTTTGCAAGTGGGATTCATGGATGCTGGCCATGGTTAGGCCAATCAGGTGACCTTGGCGACTCAGATTTCACTTATTGGGTGAGATCCTCTTTAGGTACCCAAGCAAAAACTGGGAATCAGAAAACGCAAGTCACTTTTGCTTCTGAGACTCATCCAAAGCAGCCCTGACAGGCTACTAACCCCAAAGCAGCCTAACTTAATCGGCTTTGCGGAAGTACTCTTGATGTATACATAAAGGACGCAGTTTCACATAAAGCCATGGTATATCAAGAAGGCTACTTTCACACCCTTAAAGATGGGTGTAAATTTTTAAGCCACCTGGATAGCTAAAAGCCATGAACAGTGACCCAGAATTTCTCTATCAACATAGCTTTCCCTATACATATTTTTAAAGCTTGTCACTTCTACTGTTCTACACATACTCCCATATCTCCTGGAATCTCTTCTCACAAAAGTGGGATAGAATTTGGTGACAAAATGACTTTTGGTGGGGTTGCCCACTGTATATGAAGATTAATTCAAGCTTGGCTAAATTCTTTAGAGTGTACTGATATTCTAGCCTGTGTTAACATCAAAGGCCAGCAAAAAAAGGAGGTAAATGTGAGCCAGAGGCAAACCACCAAGGTCCGAGTAGAACTTGCACAGACCATTTCTACTTACATAATAGAGCAAAGCTGGTTCATTTTTGTGCAATAAATGGAACAAGGGGCAGTAAAGGCAGAGTGTCATTCTCCCTTGTGAAAAATGCTAGGGTAACTTACCCAGCACTTGAAAATAATTAGACTAACACACATGGCTTACAGAAGCCATTCAAAGACATTCATTGCCCTGACAAAACAAGGCCCTTTATCTAACCTGGTGTAAGCTTGCAGCAGATGCAATCATAATAAGACAGGCAGCTTCCAGCAGTTAAAAATAGGCCTGGATGTATTAAGGCTTCACAGTGTGGCCAAGGCCATGTTTACAAATACATCCTGAAAGCTAAGTAGATGGTTCTAATAGCAATTTGCAACACAAAAAAGCCAACCTGCTACTTAAGACAATTCTCTGCTTTAGACAGTTAATTACTCTCATAATAAAAATGGCCGGTTCCGCACATCTGAGATGAAAATGAAAGCGGTACATCTACCCAAACATAGAGGTTCAAATTCAATTAATTTTTCTTATTAATCACATGCTTCCCTTAAGTGGGTGAAGTGTTCCACATACATCACTTTCGGTGAGCCTTACAACAGACCAGCATGGTAGGTCAATGATATCCCTATAAGGCAGCCGGGGCTGAAGGAGAGTGAATGCTGGAGGCCAGAGATAAGCCAGAATTAGGGTGCCAACTCTGGGGTGAGAAATTCCTGGAGATTTGGGGGAGAGCCTGGGGGAAGGTGGGGTTTGGGAAGGATCTCAAGCAGGATATAATGCCACAGAGACGGTAACCCAAAGCTGCCATTTTCTCCAGAGGAACTGATCTTTGTAGTCTCGAGATCAGTTGTAATTCCAGGAGATCTACAGGCCCCACCCGGAGGTTGATCACCCCACCCATTCTTCTTAAGAACTATACAACCACCAACGACCAGTTTTAAAGCTTAAAAATTCTTAAGGAATTGTGGCTATGAGGCAAGCCTTCATTTGTCTGCTTGGAAACAAGGTTGCCAGCTCCAGCTTGGGAAATAATTAGTTATCGTATGGTAGTGTGCATAGTGTAGCCAGGAGATCCTAGGATTGTCCGGCAGCCAGAAGCTCTAGCTCTTCTGTGGTGTTAGGCTTACGGTGAGCTGAGAGAGCTATGAGAGAACTTTGACTGACCCAAGGTCACCCAGCTGGCTTCAAGTGGAGAAGTGGGGAATCGAATCCGGTTCTCCAGATTAGAATCTGCCACTCATAACCATTACACCAAGCTGGTGAGCGAAACTGGTGGAGATTTGAGGGCCACGCCTAGGGATAGTGGAGTTTGGGGAGTGGAGGAAGTCCAGTGGGAGCTGGGATGCCGTGGAGTCCTTCCTCCACGGTTGTCATTTTTCTCCGGGGAACTGATCTCTGTAGCTCGGCGATAAATTGTAATTCTAGGAGAACTCCAGGTCCCACCTGGAGGCTGGCAACCCTCCTTGGAAACTTAGGCCATGCCTCATTTCAGACCATTTCCAGTATTATGGTCATCAGTTTATGCTGCCTTCAAGTAATTAACCTACTTACTGTAAGTAACATTTTTTCCCTGTTCATTATACGCTCATGTCCAGAAAACCCCAGTATGATACACTGTGATCAATAAAATATAGAATATTTTACAGTTGTTTCACTTACTGGCAAGACGTAAAAACACACGTCTGCTAAAACATTTAAACAAACAGGGACCAATGCATACTGACAGCCAGTCATCCCGTCGTCATCTTTCCCTCCCCAGTAATGTTTTGACCATCAGATACGTGTTTGAGAGGAAGCTCTGGTACGCTCAGTCAAGTTGGTGCCAGGAATTCAGTGAACCTGGGGTCACGCAGTCAAAACGCAGGAGAAATGCAAAGCATAAACTCTTGAACAGAATACAGTCAGGGGATTAGATTTTGCTGGTTCAGTCCCATGGGTTACGTCTTAATGCAGTTTTGCTGCTACATTTTTATTTTAATTGCCACCAATGTTCCCTTTAAGCTGAGTGTGAGGCTAGCTCACAGTTTTTTAGCCTCCGGCTCACAGATCTTTGTCCTAGCTCAGGAAGGCTGGCTCCAAAGCATACTGATTTATGCAGTAGCCAAATCGCTTGCTCACAACTTTAATGCCAATAGCTCAAAAGGTAGAGTTTTTGTTCACAGGACTCCACAACTTAGAGGGAGCATTGATTGCCACCACAAAAAAAACCCCACACGTGCTTACCTAACTCTCCACGAAGGTGGATAAGTTCTAGAGACAGCTCTTTGTGTTGCTTTAGTGTTTCCTCTCTCTGTGGGGACAAAAACATAAACAGAACATTGTAAATGTTCTAAGCAGAAAACATGACACTTTCCAATAATTAACTCGGATGCTATTTGGAGAATGACAAGAGACAGGAAAAGGAAGCCAAGATATGAATCATCCGGGATAACAGCTTTGTAACATTACAAACGCACAGACAGCCCTGAGTTAAGAAAGCACAGATGCCAAAATAAAAGGCAACTGGGTTTGGTAAAACCCCTGAACCAGTTCTTTAAGTGCATGATTTATTTTTAAATTCATAAAACCCCTCAGCTTGCTGGGCAAGTATGAGCGGCTCTACCAGGATAAAAACAACACCAGCCCTCGACTAACATTCTAGGATCCAGGATGCATGTCTCTTTCCCATAACTCAAAGGACAGCATGAAAACATTACGTGGCACATGTACTTTGTAACAAAGGTAAACACGGTGCTTAGATATGGAAGGCTTTTAAGCTTTCCAAAGCAGGAGAAGCCCCACTGCAGTTAAGAAGAAGAAAAGAGTTGACAAGCTGCTTGTTGTATCGAGATAGCAGGCAGCCATACAGTTCACACCAGCATCAAGAGTTCAACACACTGTTTGTGTCATCACAAAGCCCCTGAGAAGAGCAAACCTTTGCTTCTGCTCCCCCTTCCCAAACCCACTATTAACCACATTCTAGAACAGTACAGTAAAGAGGCTGAAACTGGAAAAGAATCATGCAGTACCCACATAAAACAGGATGGGGATGAATTTCATCTCACTCCTTGTCTCTTTAGATGCAGCCACTGCTGTAGAGGACAGAACATTGTGCAGAGATCACAAGATCCAGGTACACTCCCCCCCCCCCCCCCCGTTGCTTGCTGCTGGAACCCCTTTTTCACCTTGCTTGCAGCAAAAGCACGACTTAAAGAGTCCCTGGTGTTGTTCCAGAAGAGCACTACAGAACAAAACGTTAACTACCTTCTTTGCAGCGCACTGAGAATACAGGCACATTTTGCTGCTAGAGCAGCCCATCGTCCGGCTTCTGCACCCAGCTTTTCGTTTCTCCCCCTGCTGTTCAAACACAGCAGGAGTGTACAGGTGGCAGCACCACCACAAACTAAAACTGGTCGGGCTGCATTTAACTCACTGCTAGCTAGCTCCCCATTGGACACGGCCCAGTCAGCCCCCTACTTCATCGTGCTGTGCAGTTACCGTACTTCTTCTTCTACTGGCCTCTCCCCCAACAGAAGCAGACACTGCAGCTCTTGGACTTGGCACAAGCAGCCAGTGATTACTTAAAGCCACAGCCCTTTCGTTTTTTTGAAAAATGAGAACCAGACATTACGAAGATCGATTGCCACTTACTCAAATATCAGCTGGTACAGTAAAGGGGCGGGGGGAGAACGAGGGGAGGGGGGGATAAAATCCTGACCTCTTCCATGGATAATGGATCTTATTTTTAGCTTTTCTGAATTAGTTATTCTAGGCTTTGCCTCAGTGTATAAATCCGAAGAAAAAGATGACATGAATGAAATGAGCTGGGGAAAAGAACAGCCCCTGCCAATATTACTACACAATTATCCATTAATGTAGAGCCCATATAACATATGGTGCTTTACATAATCATCAGAAGCTAGGTCCCCGCTCCAAGGAGGCTACAGTCTCAAAATCCAGATGATGCAGGGAGGGATAAACGTGAAGGAAGGAGATGGATTTGAGCAAATGAGACGGCCCATTCATTAGAAACTTGAGCAACCAACAGGAAACTTTTGCTTACTGACAGCCTTACAGGTTTCCCTCCAAAGCACTACAATTCAGGTCATTTACAACTTATTCCCAGTTTGGAAACAGTTGGTAAAGTCTAACAGGGCCATCCTAAACACAACTGCACATTTCTAAGCCCATTGATTTCTAGGGTGCAGCTCTCCTAAAGGTGGCAGGGTCCGTCTACGCTGCAAGCCCCCGGCTGAATCGCCAGCCCCCTCCCCCACCAGAAGGGATTGGGGGATTGTTCTTTAGTTTTCCTCAAAATAAGATTCATCCTCCTAATAAGTGGTGCTTTTCAGAAACAGAAATATGCACACTGCCAAGCTACAGCCAGTTAATATTGATATGGGTCAGCTGAGTTCAGTTCAAACCCCAGCTTCGTCATAAAACCACTGGATAACCTTGGACAAATGAGTATCTACTTCAGTTTGCAGATTATATAGCCTATACTAAAACAGAAATACCAGTGACCTGAACGCTAGGATGTTGAGGAAAAGCCTGTAAAGAAGTCTGCACTTTAAACTCCATACATATGGTAAATAATAAATACCTGGGCACGTGGGAAATATTCTTAAACGGCATCAGGATTTTAAAGGTAGCAAGTGTACAAAGAACTACGGTAGTTGAATTCAAGAGCAAAAACTGCCATGCAGACAGAGAGCCCCACCTTGAGAATACATTGGTTACTATCAAGACGTTCATTCCATCAGCAAATTGGTTTAAAACTCACAATAAGAAAAATCCACTTATCTGATAACTCGATTAGTGGCCAGCCACTCCTATCAATCCTAAGTTATAGAAACAATTAAGACAGTGTTCTTGGAGAAGGGTGCAACTGCACCCTATTAGGGTGGTAGAATACAGTGTTCTTGGAGAAGGGTGCAACTGCACCCTATTAGGGTGGTAGAATACAGTGTTCTTGGAGAAGGGTGCAACTGCACCCTATTAGGGTAGTAGAATACAGTACTGTTAAATTAAATGGCCTTGAGGGTCACCTAGATCTGAGGGTCACCCAGATTGATACACAAAACATCAGGCAATCACCTTGCACTGAACCAGCTTCTTGGATGCCTTAAGCTAAAGAAAGGAGACTAATGCAAATATTTTAGCCATGTAAAATAGAAGCCTAGGGTGTCAGGTAAACAACTAAATCAGAAAACATTTAATACCCACGGCAGCTTTTGTCAGGTAGAAGAGAGATGTATATAGGAGCTGGGCTCCTCTCTGACAGGAAGCTGTCAGAAGTTCACACTCCAAAACAGGTATTTTCTCCAGGGGAGCTGATCTCTGTAATCCAGACATCTACTTCCTGGAGATTTCCAGGCCCCACCTGGAGCCTGGCAGCCCTTCATATATGTCCAAGATGCCACACAGAGCCAGGAACCTTTCTGAAGTCAAAGTCCATGCCTACACTATGTCAGCAAATATGCTAGATCTCACTCAAAATATGGGTGTGTGGGGGACAGCAACAATTTTTGGCAAGCTACGCTAGTGAAGTCGAATGTGCCGCTCTAGTGTTTCACAAGGTCTGAAACACACTAAATGCACAAGTAGAAGGAAGCTTATGACTTGGGGGTGGGATGCAACAGAGGTCAATAAAATAATGCACAGGCCAGAAAAAGTAGACAGAGAACTTCTTCTCCATATCTCATAATATTTGAACTAGGGGGGACCCAAGGAAACTGATGTGTAATAGATTCAGGATACACAAAGGGAAGTACTTCTTTGTTGTTGTTCAGTCGCACAGTCGAGTCCGACTCTTTGTGACCCCATGGACCAGATCACGCCAGGCCTTCCTGTCTTCCGCCGTCCTCTGAAGTTGGCTCAATTTCATGTTCGGTGCATCTATGACGCTGTCTAACCATCTCATCCTTTGCCGTCCCCGTCTTCTTTGACCTTCAATCTTTCCCAGCATCAGGGTCTTCTCCAGTGAGTGCTCCCTTCTCATTTGGTGGCCAAAGTATTTGAGCTTCAGTTTCATTATCTGGCCTTCCAGGGAACAGTCAGGGTTGATTTCTTTTAGGATTAGTACTTCTTTAGTCAGCAAGTAATTAAACTTGGAATTCTCTGCCGCTTGATGTAGTGACAGCCACTAGCATGGATTGCTTTAAAGGAGAACCAGCCAGAATGACTAAATAGAACCCCCACATCCGGAGGAAGTTAACCTCTGAATACCAGCGCTGGGAAACCAGCATCGGGGAAGACCTTTTCCTCTGTGCCCTGTTTTTGGCCCTCCACAGCTAGTGGTTGGATACTGGATGAGCCACTGGCCTGATCCAGCAAGAGCCTTCTTATAAAGTCTACACTGGACAGAAGTTAAGTGTTGATAGCTAACAGCTATAACAAATACAATCCCAGAAGTAACCTGTAACCTTCTACTGGATAAAGAAGAGAAGAGAAGAGGAGAGATTGGATTTATACCCCGCACTTCACTACCCAAAGGTGTCTCAGAGCGGCTTACAAACTCCTTTCCCTTCCCCTCCCCACAACAGACACTCTGTGAGGTGGGTGGGGCTGAGAGAGCTCTGACACAAACTGCTCTTTTTCAAGGACAGCTGTGCCAGAGCTTGTGACTGACCCAAGGTCACATCAGCAGGTGCAAGTGGAGGAGTGGGGAATCAAACCCGGTTCTCCCAGATTAGAGTCCGCACACTTAACCACTACACCAAACTCCAAAGAGCTCCAAAACTTAAGCCTGAACTCCAGAAGTCCGGTAAGCTGCTTTACACGGCACTGTTTTTTTCTAAATAGAAAGGTGGTATCAGAGCGGCAGCAAAATAGGAAGTCTCGGCTTTAAATCATACCTCAGCTATGAGGTTGCCAGGTGGCCTTGCAAAATCCAGCCACTCTCTGACTCTGTCCCCCACATCAACTCCCTACAGTATGAGGATGACAGTGGTCTGGTTTACAAGGATATTTATTCTGAAGATTAAGATGTTTATAGATTTTAGGGGCGGAGCTTGAGGAGGGAGTGGTTTGGGGAGGGGAGGGACTTCAGTGGGGTATAATGCCATAGAGTCCACCATCCAAAGTGGCCATTTTCGCCCGGAGATCAGTTGTAATAGTGGAAGGTCTCCAGCCACCACCTGGAGGTTGGTAACCCTACCCACTCCACACCATTGTAATCTATTCGTTTAAGCTCGATAAGTGTAATGGTGCAAACATGCCAGTCAGTCAGTCAGTCAGGCATTTATTACGGCAACAAGCCACAGAAGTGCAAACATGTAATAAAAGCAGAATTGAAGATAAAAATAATCT